GGTCTACAGTGCTGTGGCTGGAACAGCTGAGAGACAGGACCCAGGCCACAGAGGTACGACTGCTGCAGGACATCTCTAAGGTCCTGGCAGCCACGCAGTTCTTGGCAGACGCCACCTTGGATGCAGTTACGAATGCTTCTCGAGCCTTGTCATCCTCTGTAGCATTCAGGCGCCTGCTGTGGTTGCACCACTGGCAGGCAGAGTCCCAAGCTAAGTGGCAGGAGCAAACTACGCCGGGGACAAGCTTTTCGGTGCTTTGCTGGATCCTATCCTGGTGGAGGACAAGAATAAGCAGACGATCTTCCCGGTTACAGTCAGATCACCGGCATGCTCCGTTCCCCAGGAGAACATCTTACCAGCCCCCTGAATTGGACTTCCAGAACCAGAGGTACCAGACCCCCAGGTTCCATCAACAGGGGGATAGGCAGTTTCCTAGAGACAGGTTCAGGGGCCAGCAGCAGAGCAAGCAGCCCTTTTGAGGAGGCGGCGGCCGCCCATTCCACAGGTTCAAGTGATCCATTCGCGGATCACCCCATCGGCGGTCGCCTCGCCCTTTTTGCAGATGCCTGGGAGCGCGTCATTTCGGACGAGTGGGTCCTCCAGACTGTTAACTCGGGTTACAGCTGGAGTTCCGCTTGCAACTCGCAAATAGGTTCCGTACCTTTGCCTCCTCCACAGAGCCAACCAAACAGGCCCTTAAGGCAAAGGTCATCAAACACCTGTTAGATATCAAGGCCATTGAAAGGATTCCAGAGGGGGAGAAGGGTTCCGGATTCTGCTAGAACCTGTTTCTGGTCCCCAAGAGTTCAGGGGGGGGTGGAGAGCCATCCTGGATCTTAAACTGCTCAATTCCAGGGTGGTCTACTGTAGGTTCAAGATGGCCTCCCTGAAATCCATCTTAGAGGGCATCCAACAGGGCAACTTCTTGGCCTCCATCGACCTCACGGAGACCTATCTTCACATCAGAATCGCCCTGGAACATCGTAGGTTCCTCAGATTTTCCCACGAGGGCAAGCATTTTGAATATAGAGCCCTTCCCTTTGGGCTGGCTTCAGCCCCCAGGACGTTTACCAAGATGCTGGTTGTGGCCGCGGGTCACCTGCGATCCTTTCCAGTCAGACTTTTCTGTTACCTAGATGACATCCTCGTCCTAGCCAGGTCCCCAGACACTGCCAGGCAGGACCTGGGGCTCACCATCGACACTCTCAGGTCCCTGGG